TCATTATGGATCTACAAGTTGCCCAATCACTTCCCGTCTTGCAAGTGTGCCAACTAAGAGAGCAGAAGACGAATGCCATAAACTGTGACGTAGCTGAAGCTGACTCCATATGATCCCATATAAAAATTACGGCAATTATTCTTTTTAGGGATGCTTTGGGTTGCATTTCAACTTGCACTTTTTAACTTTGAACCCTGCCCCAACCAAGGTTTGAGAAGCACAACCTGGCGTTGAAGATTCCGGTTTCCTGGGTTGACTTGGATGGTGGTGATAGCTACCCTGTGCTCAGTATGCTTGACACCATTGACTACTTGGTTCAATCCAACAACTTGTCCAAGTTGTTTGGGGAACAACCCATGGAACAAGTGCAACCAATGTTGTTAGAGTTTTGGCGACGTTACAGCCTTGAATGGCCAGATTATGGAGTCTTTCGAGCTGCTGCTGAAAACAAGCTGTCGCTATCACGAACAATTCCAGTTTACATTCATGGTGATGAAGGTCGTGGATTCAAACGATCGGGTGTCATGATATTGAGCCTACAAGGGGCCATTGGTCGTGGCAGCAAACCTTTCCTCAAAAGACATCCAATTAGATCTCTTCGTCAACTCAAGATGGGTATCAACCTTCAAGGGAGCTCTTTCAACAGTCGAATGCTGTTTGTTGCAATGCCAAAGAAACATTACAAGGCGAAACCAGATTCTGGGACTATGATATTATTCATTTTCTATCCTCTTAGATTGCCTTTGGTTGTCCTTTCCTGTGACATTAATTTTAATCCCACTCAGCCCCCTATCCTTACTCAGGAGAATTTCCAGGCTGTACTCAACAAGATGATCAATGACCTCCTCAAACTTCAAGACATTGGGTTTACCTACGCAGGGGAAAGATGGAACATCGCTTGCTTAGGTGTGAAAGGGGATCTTCCGTTTTTGAGGACCATTGGAGACCTGACGAGGCATTGGCAAAGGGCGCACAGGTCAGAGGAAAACAAATCTCCTCCTGGGGTTTGTTGGATGTGTTTGGCTGGCACAAAGCCAGGGGGGCCTTTTGAAGATTTCAACATAGATGCTCAATGGTCTGTGGTTGCTACAGTTGATCCTTGGGTTACACGACCTTCAGTGCTGCAATTGTTTCATTGTATCGATCGTCCCCATGACTATCTCAAGACTGATGTTTGGCACAACTACCATGGAGGAGCAGGTAAAACTTTCATAGCTTCAGTGCTGGCTGAATGTTTGCTTCTTTTGCCGGGGTCAAGGGAAGACAAAATTTCCCAGTTGGATGTTCTCCTACGTCAGTGGGCCAAACGGCCGGGTTGCAACCTTCCTCATTCAGGTCCATTTGTTGCGGAGAGAATTGGCCTTACAAGCTTCCAGGTCTTACCTGAAGGAGGTTGGTCAAAGTTTGCTGACACGCATATCTACCACAGGTTTGTGGAATGGTTCTTGACAGGGAGGATTAATCAATTCAATGAGGACGAGTATTTTTTGATGATTCTTGAAGCTGTCAAAGCGGCCAACGACACTTTTTCAATTCGTTACTCGTCTGGGTTGTGGCTGACGTCCAATGAAGCGCTTGCAGCTGGAAACAACGGAAGAAAGTGGTTACGTATCTATGCAAATCTTGCCTATAGGTGCTTCACTGAGCGAAAATCACGCTTCCCGATCTATGTTAAGTTTCACATGTTGGACCATCACTGGCGTCGTTTGGTATCTGGAGCCCAAAACAAATGGACACTGAACATCCTAGCGGAGTCAGTGCAGGCTGATGAGGAGTCTAGTTTGAATTTATTTGAATTTTGATATGTTGGTCGTTATGTGGTCCTATCCTAGTATGTGTCATCACTGTTGTATTTTCCGTTCCCTGGGGATGTCTCATTTCAGGACTTTGTGGGGAGATGCTGTCGCGTCAGCCGACGCATTTCCCCCAGGGCAATTGGATTGAGAGTACTTCAAAGGTATCTTGTGATGGCAAACAAAGCGTGGGTCAACAGCCCGAACCCTGACACTCAGCAGCCGACGAAGAGAAGCTTCGCCGAGATGACGGGCCCGCTTGAAGCTGATGGTCCAAAGCACAGAAAAAGGGGGTGAAGCAATTGTGTGTGATTATGGCTGAACCCCCAAATTGGGAAACACCCGTAAGCCGTAATGACCAAAAAAAATGGTTGAGGCCGTATGATCAAAAAAAAACATTCATTTGGGTTCCTAGGTATATATATATTCAGATGATATGTCAGAAATTAGGACAGATAAGTTTCAGGGGTCCAAAGACGATGAGTTTCTGGCCCCATTCCAATGGATTGCCCTCATTTCCTTGATGAAGATTACCAGTTTGGGGAATAAGTGAAGCACGGATACGCTACAACGTGGGGAAAACCAGTGATGTGAAGGTTGGTGGCACTAATCCCCAGTAACTAGTTCGTTAGTGCCATAAACCATAGTGAAATTGGAGTTCTGTTCACCAACTTAGCGATCGTAAACGGGGGCCACATTTTGATACATTTTGTATTATTGGTCAAGCGGTCAAATGGATGCTGATGGAGTGGTTCAAGAATACAACCGCATAGTTGATGATTGGAAAACAAACATACCCTCTGGTAATTTAACATGGCTATGGAAAATGGACCATTTATAGAGGATTTATGATGATTTAGCTATTAATCCATGATGATTTTCCATAGCTTTTTTGTATGTTTAGCAGAGGGTATGTTTCCTGGACATTTTCCAACCATCCCCGTGATCATAGCTGTGGGAAAAAACACATTAAAACCATGTGTTGTTGCAGAACCAAAAAAAAGTACGGACATTGTGCGGAATGATGACTGACTATCACCCAACAAAGGCTAATAAATTCATCATCATTGGTGACAGCTTTTCGCTATCAGTGACAATTAGGGGGTTTCCTACAATTGGTGATCCCGAAGTCCACATGGGTTTCAATATATACTAAAATGGTTCTCCATGACGTGGATGATTTGGGGTACCCCCATGACTTAGCAAAACAGCAATTCATCCCAATCAAAATTCTAGAAGTAGCCAGTAATCCGACGTCATTAGCCTGGTTACGCGAACTGCTTGCGGTTGGTGGCTCTACTGGTTTGTTAATAGCTAGTCCAATACTGAATTCTTGTCTGATCTCTTTTCAATATCATTGTAGTATTGACAATAGTAACCATATAAACAGTTTTGACAATACTAACAATGTAAATAATTGTGCATTGACAATATAAACAGTAATTACATCAATATAAGGAATAGTAGATAATAGACTACCAATATCAAAACCAGTACTTTCACCATGGATTGTAATAATTCAATGCTTAGTGGAACCCAAATACTAAGAACCTGTTCTTAGTAGATTACACCAGGTATAGCGCCCTCCAAAAGATAGAAACGGAATATATGGTTTTATCCCGAATTAAACCATCGTTTCTGGGGGGTGTTTAATATGAACTTGGGAAAGAATATATACCAATTATGTACCCAAATCACCTAGGTTGTTTGATATTTACAATTTCACTAGGGTTTAAGGAGGTTATATCAATAGTTGGTGGGGAATATCATTTTCTCAACGCTGTACACACACATTCCATACAAGGAGGGCCCCCCAGAGGAAAAATCTGGATATGTCTATAAAGCATATTTATTAGCCATACAAATGGGAGTGAGAACCCCGAGCCCCAGTTGTATGTATGGTGTATATGTGTATAATCTGTGTGTATATATATATATATGATTTTATATATAAATAGCAATGAATGTGAAGGATTTGAACAAGCACAATGAATGTATACATTATATACGTATATACACATTACATTGTATATATGGAGGTTTCCTAAAATGGTGGTACCCCCAAATCATACATTGTTTGGTGATTTTCCATGGCAAACAATGCATAAATGGGGGAATCTTGCGCTTGCAAGGTGGTACCCCCTTGCTAAGTTGCTTTGTAGCTTGCAGTAATCCGGGTCAAAATGGATGTTTATGGTAGGTACCCGGCCTGGTAAACATACAAAAAACTATGCAAAATCAGACTTTTTAATGGCTAAATCAACTATACATGGCCATGTTCAATGGCTATGTTAGTTTATACAAGTCGGGCAACTATACACCATGACCCTCTGGTAACTTAACATAGCTATTGAAAATGACCATTTATAGCTGATTTATCCATTGAAAATGGTGATTTTCCATAGCTATGTTAGTTTACCAAACGGTATATTTCCAATGGTGTTGCAATGGTGTCTTCATTGTTATAATATTATAAATCATAATCGTAACTCAAGAAACATTACGACTGGGGGGATAAAATAAACCACCTTGATCTGCCGAAATCACTTCAGTGCTGCTTTCTTTTGTTTAACAAAAGTTGACCAAATGATACTAAAAAGAACAATATGTGGGGGTTTTCTGAAATAGTGGTATCGCCCAAATCATCCATTTTTTTTGGTGATCTTCCATGAAATAAACCATCCAGCTATTGGGGTACCTCCATTTATGGAAACCCCCATGTGTGTAACATATACTTGAAGACGGCTTATCACTCCAAATTAAACGTACATAAGCCAACTTTGGGGCGGTGCTTCAGATTCCAATCATGCCCCCATTCTTGGGCACGTAGCTGCGAAACCAACGATCGACAAGCCCGAGGTGAAACGGTTTGGCAAACATACTAAGAAGCTAGATCCTGCAAATACCACCCAAACATGATCAACAGTAAAAGCACTAAGGTTACAGGGTAAAACACCATTTTTTTTCCGAGTGCACACGGAGGGTCTAGAGTCTAGGTACGTCTAGAATAGGTCAGGGTCAAACATGGTCAAACTTCGTAACTTGTGAACTCAAGACATCCCAAGACTGGAGGATTTTTAACATCGCCTCTGGATGTTTAAGATTTTGCTATAGAATCCATGGCCTATTCGTAGATGATTGATGATGCTTTACGGTTGAATCACCAGAGGATGCCAGACATGACCAACACGACCAAGCACCCAGGTCCTTGATTTCGGAATCCGAAGTCAGTTGCCTCTCAAAATTGCACACAGTTTGCATGGTCAATCTTTGACAGCCCACAAAAACATATATAGTTTTTTGCTCGTTATGGCTAGTTTCCATGTTAAAAAATAGCAAACAACTCAAGGATAAAACTACCCATTCAAGCTTGGGAATTGTCAAAAATAATCAAAAATCTGCTCTTTCCTGAGATGTTGTAGATGATTTGTAGCTCAGAATTTCTAAATCCATCCAATAGGGAGAACGCGGCCAATCGGAAGCCGCACCCGAGGAATCCAAGTGTTGTTTCGCGTTGCGAAACGATGGAACTTGAAGGCTGTGACCTCAAAAAAACCATGCAACTTTATCGGATGTTTAATGATGTTTAATGGGGATTTCACTAAACATGATGGATTACTGGGATGTTTAATGAAATTGGATTAGTTTCAATACGGAGATTATTAGCAGCCATTTCTGGAAAATACCCACAGTCACTTCATTTTCACACCAAGCGGTGGCACTGTGGAAGTGTCACTGAACATGTGTCAGAAATTTCCTTACAACACGACCGCGGATGTAGGTTGTTGCTTATGCATGGCTACAAAAAAATTGGCAATAACCTCCATAAGTTGGAATATAACCCCTGCTTGGTGGCTCATCCCACTTAGTAGGTGGGTTAGAACCCCAGTTATAAGTGGATTAACCCTACTTATCCCATGTAAATCACTGGGGTTATAACCCACTTACGATTCGTGGGTAGTGAGCCACCAAGTAGATTTATGGTGAAATAAGCCACTTCTTCGTGGAACTGCGCGTTTTCCGGCCCGTCAGAGTTTTCCATAAGTGGGGCACCCAAAATGGATGGTTTATAAGGGAAAATCACAAAAAAAAAATCATTTGGGGGTACCCCTATTTTAGGAAACCCCCATATATCTACAATGTGGGCCAACCCAGTGATGTAGTGTTATGTTTGTTGGTTTCGATTCACCCCATTCACTATTTCATTACAAATACCATATGCATCCATAAACCATAGTGCCAACTAATCGCGATTTCGTGGCCACGGGGCCCCAATTTGTATGTGAATTCAATCCTATGAATATCATATATATATATATGTATAGTCTGTATAGTATAATCAATACAGATTGGGGTCATGCCTATATACCATGGATATGCATATCTATATATTATAACCATTTATCACCCCTGTTGTTTCTCAGCAACCAACTTGACCGCCGGTTTTCTCGAAACCCGTTTCACGCGGATTCACGCGTTTCGCTAGTGTCGACTCGCCTTGGAATCAGCATCAAGGTTTCGCGTGGCGCCTTGGGCGAATAAGGCCGGAACTACCAGTGATTTGTATGATTAGAAATTGTCTGGTTGGTGGTTGAGCACTACCCCTTCTGAAAAATGATGGAGTTCGTGAGTTGGCATGGATGGAAATTCCCAATATATTAATATATGGAAAGTCATAAAAACATGTTCCAAACCACCAACCAGTATCATTAGTATACCACAAGTATACCACTACCATACCATCAATATCCCATCATTATTTTTCCATGGTATCACCAGAAATTGTTCATTGGGGTTGTAGCTCCATGTCTATGGGATGATTTCACTAAGTTATAATTTAATTGATGACTCGGGCCATAACCCTAGAAAAAATGACATTAAACATGGATAAACATGGTCCGGTTATTGATGATGCAAACCGGTTAAGAATGGTGATGTTCCATAGATATGTCACATCAGAGGATAACCCTATTAAAGCCTCATGTTTGGAGTAGAAATTGAATTTGACTATATATATATGGGTAGATAAAAATATTTCACTAACCTGAATAGTTCGGCCATTCTGGGATGATTCCTCTTGCTAGCCATGATTCCAGTGAGGGAGAACAGTGAGGTCGTTATAATTTACTCAGATACGTTTTCTATCATTTTCTATATACAATCTTCAGAGTTCACCAAATGTGCCATGATCAATGGCATCTTTTTTGGGGCTTTCTTAAACAGTGGTACCCAAAAAAGATCGGTTTTTAATCCAAAATCCTAGTAATTAAAATTGATGATTTGGGGGTACCCCCATTTTTGGAAACCTCAAAAAAATTGCCTCCTTTGACCATGGTACATATGGAGAAGGTGGAAGCCCACAACTGGGATACAACAAGAGATGTACAAAGGATGTACGACGGATAACACACATAATGTACAGATACACGTGTTCTATTTGGTGGCTCATCCCACTTAGTAAGTGGGTTATAACCCCAGTTATAAATGGGATAAGTAGGGTTAATCCACTTATAATTGGGGTTATAGCCCACTTACTAAGTGGGTAGTTCGCCACCAAGTATTCACTTAAAGTATTATCGAAAGCTTTCTCTGTGATTCTCAGTTGCAATCCAAAAAATCCCATGACATTCCCATGAAATCATCGTAAATGGCTGGGTTGTCTATTCACTTTACGTCCCCAAAGATATGCATACGCTGCCAGGCTCCAGAAAAAAAACAGTTGATCAAGGATCAACTACTGCGCCGGGCTTAGTGTAGATAAATGAGCAGAAGCCAATAATGGATACAGTAGCGGCTATATACAACCAGGCCGATTAGGTTGGATTTATGTATTAGCTTTGTCTATGTGTTTTTAGTTGATAATATATATAGATATAGGTAAACCGAACAGATTTATCAAACATATGAACAATATACTGTAGGTCCAACTTGTCCAACCAATCCAAGAACCATATCTTGGTTTACATGAGTCGACTAGGTCCAGGGTAGACATGGAAAACCGTTGAGCAAGCACCAATTTCTGAAACCACACAGATATTGACCAATCCCATATGCTCCATGCATGGCATATTTACCTACAAAACTGTGTATTTTTAAGGGCAAATGTTGGTAAATATTCCAGCACCATGGAGCATATGGAAATTAAAACACAATCGATGTTTTCTTGGCATCGTGCTTCAGTTGGTAGAATTTTATCTAAAGTTTCCACAACCGCAGTGGGCTTCCGCACTGACATTGCTGGCATGCTATCCACAGCGATGAGGATGATTTGGATGCCTGTCATAGCTGGATGTTTTACACCTAGAAGAGGGTAGTCAAAGCGGTGCAAATATAGTCAGTTATAAGTCAGTGACATCACCCCATTTATGGAACTATAACATATTATAACCTCATTGAAATAGCCATGCATTTATACTCATTTACAACTGGTATTTCCGGACTTAACTGTAGAAAAGTCTTTACTTGTGGACAACTTGTGACTGTCCCATCAATGAGCAAAGGCCAAGGGTTTTTGCCCAATGTCAATGTTCAAAATGCGGCACCAAACACAATGGTTTATGGCGCTTATAAGTTATAACATTAGTTACCCTCTGGTAAATTAACATAGACCTTGAAAATCACCAATGTTTTGGAAACTAGTCATTAACATATATAGACCTTGAGATTTTCACCAATGTTTAGTCTTCCAACTAGTCTTCAAACCCCTGCCAGGGTCTACGTGAAAATTTACTGGAGGCTACTCGGGATTATCAACCAACAAACATCACTGCAAGGTGGTGCCCCCCAGTTATAAGTTGGTTTATAATCCCATTAACTATAGATATATCTACCATAAGTCCTAGTTATTAGAGCTATAAACCAACTTAGCTATCTTGGGGGCACCACATTGTGGGGGGGCCACACTGTAGGCTTCTTGGTGATTTGTAGTTTCCCTTTTTTTTCCCGGCCAAAACTAGAAAACTCTTAGGGGAAAAAGTGGAACCCTCTGGTAAACATACTATGGAAACTATGGAAACTATTGGAAAGATCCACCATTTTTAATGGGTAAATCCGCGAACTGTCGACTGGGCCATTTTCAAGTTCGCAAACTGTTAGTTTACCAGAGGGTATATTCAGTTCAAAAACACGTTGAATTCCAGGGACGTTGAGGGACTGTGGCGACCCAATTCATCAAGTTTTTATATAATATACAGTGTTGTCGGGTCACAATCCATATCATCATCAGCTCAGGCAATATTACCCCAGGATCGAAAACCCCTCGGTCTACTAATTGGGGAGGTACCATGTATTTAAAGGGACATATCACGATGTTATACTATTTTAGTACTCCCCATATTCATAAACTAGAGTGGTTTATTATGGTGTATCTATCCCGGGTTGACATTAGTATTGCCTTCAACTTGTGGTAGTCTTGTGGCCCATGTTTTGCCCCTTCCCAGGGACGGAGCAGCGGCTTGGGAATTTATGAGCCCACAATGATGGCTGGTACAAGGTGATGCCCCAGTGATGTGAACGTTGGTTTATAATCCCCAGTAACTATAGTTGTAAGTACCAAAAACCATAGTTATTCATAGTTATTGGAGTTATTAACCAGCTATGCTTGTTAGTTTATGATCCCATGAAAACTAGTTCGATATATCTACCAAAAGTCCAAACGTGAAATTAGAGTTATGTGGCCCCCAACTTCTTAGCTATCTTGGGGGCTCCGCAATGTACCAATGATACCCTATTCTCAATTTTTTTCGTTTTATTGGAAACCCTTATGGCATTATGGGAGTAGTACTACTAGAGTCTTGTGGGAATGGGGGTTCCCATCCTGGAGGGTCGCTATTTTTTTCCACCAGTTCATAGTGAGGTGGCAGTGGGGTTGCAACAATCATCTCCAAGCATCATGGATAAGGTCCCAAACTCATCTGCATCGTAGATAAACTTAAATACCCCGCAAAAACATAGGGGCAAAGGATATATTGCACTTGTTGCAAGGTGGTGCCCCCCAGTTATAAGTTGGTTTATGATCCCTTTAACTATAGATATATCTACCATAAGTCCTAGTTATTAGAGTTATAAACCAACTTAGCTATCTTTGGGGCACCACATTGTGGCTGTATAAATCCATTGTATCATCATTATATTGATGTGAAATGGTTGGTTTATGTTGGTTTTACGTCCGGCTGGTAACCCCTATTCGTTGCAAACTGTGAGAGTATTAATGTTGACCTACGATTTATCAATGCCCCCTGAATAAAGCTAACCAAACTCCCAAAACAAATAATAAATGACCCCTAAATAAAACGAAACTTTTTTGGCCCGGGCCCTAAACCCAGATTTGCCCAGATGGGGCTGATTTTGTTTTTCCATGCTTTATTTGAGGTGGCTTTCATGTACTAATTCATACTGCCAGCTCATTAGATCTTACCTTGATAGCTTCAAATTTTCAAAAAATAATGCATGTTTTTTTCTATTCAAATCCTTTATAAAAACCTATTTAAAATCAATCCCAAATCGACTCATCAAGGGTACCCCCCATGAGGTGCCTTAGCACTAATTAGAGTTTGACCCTGAAAAAAACTATTTTTTTGGCCCTAAACCCAGATTTGCCCAGATCCATGGCATGAATACTAAATCAATACTAAATCCATGACATGAGTACTAGATCAATACTAAATCCATGACATGAGTACTAGATCAATACTAAAACAATTGTTGGATTTCTTTTTTTTTTAAATTGCATGTTATGTATTCGTTTTAAATTGTGGTAATTGAAAACCAATACATACAAACAAGTTTGATGGTGGCTTTAAGTCTATTTAGGTGAAAAGAGAGGGGGGGGCCCAGTTGATAAATCAGAGGTTAACATTAAACTTTGCATCACAGGTTGGTTCATCCAATGATCGCATCACTACTCTGGTTTGCACTCCGTTTTATAGGTAAATCATCATAAATCATATATTTATATCAGCCTCATCAGCCTCATCAGCAACACAGCAAGCAGCCAGCCACGCAGCCAGCCAGCTGCAACTAGCCAGCCCTATAGCCAGCCACCCAACCAGCAGCAGCAACTGAGCCAGCCACCTAGGCAGCCAGCCAGCCAGCCAGCCACCCAGAGCCAGCCAGCTTAGGGATAATGATGAGACTCTGTGCGCGTGGAGAAGATCCGCCACCCCGTGAAGGTATGTGAAGGTAGCCAGGGATCATCGGGTCTGGCCAACACTGGTCAATTAGCTTGTCAGGTCCATTATAACTAGTGAGGCCAATGCAATCCCAAACGATCCCAAAAGAAACATGCATAATCGTGATTTTTTGAGGTATGATTCGGGGGTATGATTCGGGGGTATGATTCGGGGTATGATTCGGGGGTATGATTCGCACAAATCGAACTTCATGCCTTTACTAAAAACTGCACGCGTTAAAACAAGACACAGCCATATATATATATATAAATACATTTTTATATATATATATAAATGGGCCATTTTCCGTAGCGATGTTGAATCACCAGAGGGTATATGTTAATGCTATCTGGTTGAAAACCCGAATCCCAAATTGATCGGGAATATGGATAGCCATGGCTCCGAACCGCTCCCCCCTAACAACCCGATAGTCTGTTAATATCCGATGAAATTTACATCATTGTCCATAGTTATAATTTAGTTATCCAATAATCATCCCATAAATTCTCCATATTCAAGGGATAGTAATATCCCTATATACGGATATATGTACAAATATTGTATATAATTATATAGGATATGTCCTCGCAATATCCCCGGATTGTCCCTACATATTTTCATATAACCTCAAGTCATTGAGGAAAAAACACTTCATCATCCCATAGTTGTCCCAGAATCACGATCCCATAAAAGATTCATATATTCATTAAGGTACTGAATTAATCTAAATTACCTTGATGAATTATAGGAATATAGTTATTACATAGTTAATCTAAATGGTAAATTATTAATTTATGAATCTATATTAGGTACTAAATTAATCTAAATTACCATATTCATCATCATATAGTTATTCCATAGTTTTCATTGTCCCATAAGATCGTCCCCCAAAAAAAATATGCATGTCAGTTTTGTTTCTACCATTAACATCCATTAACCATAGCTTCTTTTTGTGACACTTCCCCTCGAGAATCTCACACCCTGCTATTCTCAAGGCCATGCGAATCCCACGGCCGTTGAAGTTTCAAACTCGTGCCACGTTCAAAGTTGAAACGGAAGATGCTAGGACTGGTGCCCCCGGTCGATAGCTAAGTTGGGGGCCACAAACTCTAATTTCACTAGGACTTATGGTAGATTTTTCTCGGACTAGTCTTCATGGGATTATAAACCAACGTTCACATCGCTGGGGGGCACCACCTTGTGGTCTTGGCAAACTGAGTGGCGATCTTCTCCTGACTGAGCCCTGGGGTCTCTCAGACACTTGAACTTCATGGCCGTCACACTGTCGAAACCATCTTGGCCAGCTGGCAAATGGGTTTTGCTATCTGCAGGACATGCGACGGTCTGTCAACTGCTTCTCGCTTTCGGCCCTGAGGAGTTTGTATATGCTGAGGTTCTGGTTGCTCTGAATTGCTCTGATCCCTGAGCTTCAGCTAACAAAGAGCCCTCGTCAAGTTGCACTTGCCTTGCAGCTTCACCTCCCGGATGAGCGAAGCTAATTTCCTGGATGTTGTCGGGCACATCTGTGTGCGATCTCCATCAGGGACTTCAAACGGGACCCCTTCAATGTGGGGCCCCCCAGTTGTGTTTGCTGGTTTAGAGTCACCCCAGTAGCTAGTTCGTTATAAGATGTTATTTGCGTACCATAAACCAAACTAAATCGGAGTTATGTGGCCCCGAACTTAGTTATCAACAATCAGCTATCAATCCCATTGCATTACTAAATGCCACTTTTGTCTTGGATAAATCGTGTGAAACCCATTTAAATCCCTATGTTCCTATTGTTTCTATGGTAAACGAGGGCCTCACTTTGGAGTTACCCTCTGGTAAATTAACATAACTATGGAAAATCACCATCTTTAAAGTCTTTAATAGGTAAATCAACTATAAATAGCCATTTTCAATAGCTATGTTAGTTTACCAGAGGGTAATTCACCCAAGATATCCCTCCCGGTTGGTCGGTTGGTCGGTCCGTCGCCTTCAGCCTTCGCATCCGGACGTCCACCGATCTCAACGATGCGGTCCGTGGCCGGAACGCCTGGAGGCACCTCACCATGGACGACGGCGATATACCCTCTGGTAAACATACGAAAAACAAGGAGTTAGTTTACCAGAGGGAAATTTGGGCAAACGTTGAAAAACATGCGGGAAAAGCCATGGTTTCTCAAGGTGTTTGGTCAACTTATCAGGGTTCCAACATGTTCCAACCAGCGCATTTTCAATAGGGTGCATGGGAAGGAATATCATGGGAATACATGGGGAGATATGGGGAGATATGAACATTTAGGGGGACAATTCCATCCGCGAGTACATTGTCATGAAATCCCATGTAAATCCCTATTCGTTGATGGTTGAAGCTCCGCATATTTTCCCATGGTTTTTCCATTGTTTTCCCATAGTTGTCCCATATGTTTGGTGTATTTCCCGTATTTTCCCATGGTTTTTACGGTGAAACCTCCATTTCCGGAGTTTTCCATGTTTTTCAGCGCAGCAAACGCTGCACCTCGCCCTCCTTCATGACCTGGATATGAGCTCCGCTGTTGTCCTGAAGCAACCAAGAACATAGACAGTTCTATGTGAATATCATCAATTGGATATACATATATATATATATATATCATATTTTACATATCATAGAACATATTCATGATTATGTTTGATTGATGAATTGCATTGATTGATTGATTGATTGATTGATTGATTGATTGACTGATTGGTTGATTGATTGATTGATAGATGGATGGATGGATAGGTATGTAGATAGATAGGTAGATAGATAGATAGATAGATAGAAAATTTGGTAAGATCAGATAAGATGGGATCAGATGAGGTAATATGATATTAGATGAGTCAAGATAAGATAAGACAAGAGCAACAAAAACATTAGACAAGATTAGATAAGATACAATAAGATGAGATAAGATAAAAATAAAATTAGCTTAGATAGCTAGAAAGATAGACACATAGATAGATAGACAAACATACAGATAGACAAACAGATAGACAAACAAATAGATAACAGGGTAAAACATCATTTTTTGATGGTACAAGAACATAGCAACTGTATGTGAGTAGAGGGATGTGCGTTTTCTAGTTCTAATTGTGACACATTCAGAGGTCAACCAGCCAAAACCATAACATCGACATTCATCATTTTCTATCATTCAAGAGGTGTGTGTTCTGCGGCGTCCTGGAGTTCACGGATATGTCGACCTTGCTTGCCGATGATCCATCCCGCCACCTTCACCGTTGGTAGCACCCAGAACTCGACATCGACATATTCAGAACTTGACATGAAAACATGTTGCAACATCCAAACATAATTAAGCACCGAAATCACGAACGAAATCAGTCTCATATGTTTCTGGAGCAGCTTCCAATAGTGGGGTGCACTTGGGCTGACTGACTTGTGAGTATAACCATTCACTTGTGAGTCTCAGATGCAGTGGAACTTATACAAACCACGGCAGCATCAATCCCACTCTGTATCTACCGCTGTCATCCCGTCCACAGCACCTGCGTCGCAACTACAAACTTGGCGTTGGTTCTGGGATTTCCTGCGGTAAGCGTTTGGGTCATTTCCCAAAAGACCCCAGGTATATGGAGGATCCTCCGACTATCTCCGACGGATCATAAGTGATTAATATCCCTGGTGAGTAAGTCCCCGATTCGTGGATACATAAGTCATCGTTAAGTAACTTCAACAGCTAAGTTGGTTATTTAATAACACCAATAACTAGTTTATTGTACTTGTAACGAACCAGTTACTGGTGATTATAAATCAACAAACATAAATGGGTGAACAAACCCCACAGACACGTGGGCAACCACAGACACAATCTGTGAGGTCTTCCAAGTAGTTCATATTCCAATTCCGGGTGAATTTGCTAGGATTTTCTACACCGTGGTGCCCCCTCAGGCAAATAAGTTGGTATATAAACAGAAGTAACTCTAGTTATATGCATCATCAACCATAGAATTCACCTAGTTATCCCATTTAACTTGAAGTCATTAGAGTTACCATCTACCAAAAGGAATCGGATGGAATCGTACCATCTACAGTACCTAAGCTTCGGCAGCCTCCCGTGGGTGGTGCTGCTCGTGCGGAGGCTCCGAAGGTGGAACTTGGCTCCTCGGCCGTGGTCGACCCTGTGCCATCTAGTTACGTGGGACCAATGGAAATCTGGAGCAGGCTGTGGATGGAAGAAATCTTGCACAAGTTGGTAATTACTGCAGTTAAGGCCCGAGTTATACCAGTTATAAGTACTAAGAAAATCCCATTTATAGAATGTATAATCCCATAGAAATAACCAGTTAAACTAATAAATGGCCATAACTGTGGTGACTATGAAACATTGTAAACAATGGGGTTTAAATGGAACAAACCATCTACCAACTGGTGCAGGATTTCGCAACCATCCACAGTATGTACAGGCTGGGGCCCCAGTTCGTTAGCTAAGTTTGTTTATATGCTAGTTAAGTATGGTTTATGGGGGATGTAACGAGACTGGTTTTATAATTAAGGGTGGGTTATAAATACTAAATTGTAACTGGGGTGGTGCATCACCCTGTGCCATGTAAGCGGCTTATATATTATATAACTAGGGAAAACTGGGGATATTGCATATGTAACACACACACAAATTCATGGGTACATAATCGGTTTTCTGACCATGACAGATATGGTTTGTGGAAGTTTAGGGTCATCCCAAAAGTCGAAAGAATTCTTCATACTGCAAATATTATGTTTGGTAAATGATAATAATTCACTTACCTAAAATAACGCTATTTGGGATGATTCCCCTTACTAACCATGATTCCAGTGAGGTCGCAGTGAGGTCGTTATAGTTTACCCAGATTATGGTATACTCACATCTTATGAATGGATTGATGACCATGCCACAAGGACTCGGTATAGAATCCAGTTTTTGACGGGAGGCATGCGGATGAATTATCACTGCACTTACTAGCCCCGAGCACGGGTGGCAGGCACTAATGAGTTGAAACTTGCACTAAATTGGGACTACAGATGTAGGAATGAATTGGCATGCGCTATCCAATTTTTGACCATTTCGCAATGGAAGTGTAAGTGGGTCTGAGTTTGAAACTGTCAGTAAATTGTATTTACATAACATGTTGGCAAAGTAAAAAAACGCAAACCTGAAATAAGGCTGTTTTGGAATCTTTTAAGCTTATCCAGTAATACAATCCAGTAATCGGAGGAAGTTTAGAAGTCAAACTTCCGACAATATGGACAGATGAAAAGCAGAGATGGGAAGAGTCAGAGAAGAGAGGAGAAGAAGAAAGAAGATCACAAAAGAGAAAGTCTCAGAAGAAAGAAGATCCAGGTGCGCGAAAAGGTAGGAAAGTTGCGAAACACTGTGTTTTTCCAATGATTTGTGGCTCCGGAGGGTCGAAAAGAAAAGTAGACTCGCTAAAGCGGCGGGTGCGGAGCCGGCTGGCCAGATGAGAGATGAAAAATTGCACGCCGTTGTGGCGCGAAGCACATTTGCAAGTGAAAAAGCTAAAAGCACGTCACGTTCGGATCACTTTTTGAAGTTGAGATGTCGGAAAAGTGCACGCCGTTGTGGCGCGAAGCACGTTTGCAAGTGAAAAACCTAAAAACACCTGACTTTCGGAGCACTTTTGAAGTTGAGATGTCGAAAAAGTGCACGCCGTTGTGGCGCGAAGCACATTTCGAAGTCAACATGTACAAGACACTTTTTGAAGTTGAGATTTCGAAAAAGTGCACGCCGTTGCGGCGCGAAGCACATTTCGAAGTCAAAAGTGTAAAAAAAAAGACGTTTTCGGAGCACTTTTTGACGTTCAGATGTCGTTTTGCGTGGCTGGCGCGCGGGATTCTGCACGTTGCCAAAGTGAGCAAAACGTGAGGGTTTTGTCGCATTTTCAAATGCAACCACCACTACACTACACTACAACTACAACTACACCTACACTGCATTCCACTGCACTACACTACATTACACTACACTACACTCCACTACACTTCACTACAACTACAACTATAACTACACTACACTACATTCCACTACACTACACTACACTACATTGCATTTCACTACACTCCACTACACTCCACTCCACTACATTACACTACATTACACTACACTAAATTACACTACATTCCACTACACTACACTAGACTAACTACAACTACAACTAGAACTACAACTGCACTACATTACACTACACTACACTACACCCACAGCTACAACTACACCTACAACTGCAACTGCAACTACAGTACACTAATTACACTACGCTAAATACATTACACTACGCTACACTACATTACATAAGGACTACACTACACTACACTAATTGCATTACACTACACTACACTCCACTACACCAGACTACACCACACCACACTACACTACACTCAACTACGCTACACTACACTACCGTACATTACATTACACTACCTTACATTACATTACATTACATTACACTACACTCATTTCACCACCACAAATGCAACTGCAACGACACTACACTAATTACACTACGCCACAACTACAACTCCACTACACTACAACTACAGCTGCACTACACCACACTACATCCAGCAGTTGTGGGTGAGGTGACCGACCAGATCCGACCAGGTGACCACTGACTGCAACCATTGCAGCCACTCCAAGAAACACAGCTCCAACCACCTTTCGGTCCATGAGTGGATTCGCCCTGCCCGTGATTCACAACAACCAATCTCTGCTATAGGTTTCCTATTTTTGAAACTTCCGCCACCGCCTCGTGCGATACTACTGGTATGGTCCTGTTACCCTCCAACAATCTAACGCAGAAACTGGGCCATTTTTACTTGATTTACCTTTTGTTGAAAATGGTGATTTTCAACAGGTATGTTAAATTACGAGAGAAAATCCCAGCAAAAAACTCATGTGTTAACAAGATAGCAGCCAGGGGTTGTAATTGGTTCCATTTACGGGCACGGGTTGATCCAGTGATGAATGCCTGACACCAGTTCTCAATGAGGCCAGCTGCCGGATTCGGAGACGTCAGCTCAACCCCACACTTAAACAACATCCTCCGGGAAGAGCGTATCGCCTTGGTTGAAATCTCCAAGGAGAAAGCAGGGATCATCACCCATACAGTTGACGTGCAGCCAATGGGCAATAGCTTCGCAATCAGCGCGCACCGTCTGAGGGTGGCAATATATGGACAAGATCCAAAATTGATCAGTTCTCGTTTGTACCTGGGCTGCTATTGCTTTGCCTGGAAGAATTTCCTTTTCTTGCAGCAGTCGGAAGGTACAGGGTATGATGATGGCGACTCCTCCTGACAACCCTCTGCGATCAGTCTCATTAGCTGGCAAGTGTGCAACAGTGAAGCCAGGATAGGTTTGCAGGAAATTAGTAGCTGTACTAGCAGTCCATCTGGTTTCCTGCAGGCACACCATCCCTTTGCGGGCCTCCGGAGAAGTCTCCTGATGTCTGTCTCCTGCGCTCTGGCAGCCTTTCACTCGATGTGAGAGCCATCATCGCACTCCTGCGATCCCTTTTTTTCTGGAAATCATTGGAAATATACAACTTTGTATACCGACCCTCACACACCGAAAGATGGTCAAGTACTAAGATTATGGGGTAAAACACCCGTTTTTATGAGTACTTGGAGGGTCTAGGTGTGTGCATATACATATACATATATATATATATACTGGATATTAATCTAATAAACTTATACTATCCAAGTTTGAATAATGGCACATATGGACGTTTCCTAAAAAACGGGTACCCCAAAATTACTTTACTTCGAGTTATCCCCACCATGACATCTATACGTTTTGTTACTGGCAAATCTTCTGGCATTCTATCTGACATATCTTCTGGCATTTTATCTGGCATTTTATCTGGCATTCTACCTGGCATATCTTCTGGCATATCTTCTGGCACTCTATCTGGCATATCTTCTGGCATATCTTCTGACATTCTATCTGGCAAATCTTCTGGCATATGTTCTGGCAAACATTCTGGCACTTATCTGGCATACCTTCTGGCATTCTATCTGACATTCTATCTGGCATACCTTCTGGCATTCTATCTGACATTCTATCTGGCATACCTTTTGGCATTCTATCTGGCATATCATCTGGCATTTTATCTGGCAAATCTTCTGGCGTTCTATCTGGCAAATCTATATGACCAACATAGTTATTGAAAATGGCCATAGTCAGTTCGTTGATTTACCTATTAAAAGCATGGTGATGTTCCATAATTATGAGTTATGTTAGTTAAGTGGTGGTTTCAACTCCTCTGAAAAACATGACTTCGTCAGTTGGGATGATTATTCCCAATATATGGAAAAACAAAAAATGTTCCAAACCACCAACCAGATATGAATTGGAAAAAAACATGATATGTTCATAAATCACATCAAATCATCTTTTACAATCATAAACTCACCCAGTTCATCATGTCAATCTTTGGTAGTCAGCAGAAACAAAAACATGTTGGTTATAGTTATTTTATGTTATTTTCAATTTAAGGAACATGGTTATATATATATAGTTTCTGAAAGATTGTTTATAGTTTCTGTATATATATATATATATTGGTTTGGTTATGTAAAGAAAAAACACTACAGGATTAGTTTCTACCCATCCAGTCGCATCGCGGTTCGCCCCGAGGCACTTCTCTCACACTTCCAGGACGATACCGGAAGTCTGTGGGTTGCAGGCGGCCGCGATCTGCCTGGAATTCGCGGTCACGGTGAGGCCCCGGACCGGAAAACCATGGGAAAAACCGGTGATTTAACGAAGAACAATACAAAATTCATGGGACTGATATGGATATCATGGAAATATGTACACACACATATGTATATATATAGCTGATCTGCGAGAGCTAAGTTGGTTTATTTCTAGGTGCATTAACTATGGTTCATGATATACATACATATATGCATATGTATCGAGCTAGAAATTGGCTTTATAAGTCAACAAACATACAACAAACATATTTGAGAGGCCTCACCATCTAACAGTCAAACACCCATCATACTACTGGGGTTGTATAAATGATGATTAACTAAGATTGAACCATCTTAAAAATAGGGGATTTAATTGATTTAACCATGAAAAATGATGGACGAGGTATATTCAAGCATCAAAGGAGAACATCCAAACTTAACAACAATCCAGAACTGAAATACATAAGCAGCTGATCTTTGATAGCTAAGTTATGCTAAGTTGGCGCAAATAACTTGCTTAACTAGGGCCAACTAGGGTTTCCAGGGGATATTAAGTATCGTTAACTCAGTTGTACTCAGTTTAGAAACCAACTTATACCTGGCGTACGCAGCAGCGTTTTGGGAATTTCCGGATTCACAACGACCATCCCCCGGGGACATCTGCCGGACGAAGCAGGGGATTTCAGTGGCAACAATCCATGCCCTACTTGGTGGCGAACCACCCACGAATCGTAAGTGGGTTATAACCCCAATTATAAATGGGATAAGTAGGGTTAATCCACTTATAACTAGGGTTATAACCCACTTACTAAGTGGGATGAGCCACCAAGCATGGATAGATTACCACTGTCTGAGAAAGTACAAACACTTCCTTAGAAGCTACGGCTGGATATCATACCCCAAATGTTCTTCAAGTTGTTCTTAGGAAGTGATCCATTCCCACTGTCGTTACCGTACGGCCACCCTCTGGTAGATGTTTACATAACTATGGAACATCACCATGCTATTAATAGGTAAATCATCGAACTGTCTATGGCCATGTTCAATAGCTACGTTAGTCATTACCAGAGGGTAAACCTCCATTTTCCTATGGTTTTCCTATGGTTTTCCTATGGTTTTCCTATGGTTTTCCTATGGTTTACCAGAGGCTAACCCCCAAAACATAGCCCAGTCCCACTTCACCGAGGTGATTTGGGCCATCATCACCGAGCCGCGGAGCGGTCTCTATTTGTAGCTTAGGTAAGTGGGACTGGACTATGATGACTAGGGGGTTAGCCTCTGGTAATGACTAACCATAGGAAAACCATAGGAAAACCATAGAAAAACCATAGCAAAATGGAGGTTTATCCTCTGGTAATGACTAACGTAGCTATTGAACATGGCCATAGACAGTTCGTTAAGTTCGTGATTTTCCCATTAATAGCATGGTGATTTTCCATAGTTATGTGGCAGTTTACTAGAAGGAATATAACTGGTTGGTGGTATACCTACCCCTCTGAAAAATGATGGAGTGAGTAACAGCTGGGATGATGACATTCCGTTCCCAACTGAATGGAAATTCAAAAACAAAAATCCAAACCACCAACCAGGTATTGTGGTACTCACATATCTATGACAATCTGATACTCAATGTTTTTTGGTACTCAATATTTATGCATCACCTTCAAGATCCTACTTCAACAAAGACCACATCAGTCAGAGGTGTTCGATATTGACACATAGAAAACTGGACTCCCTTGCAGTATAAATTATTATAAATGGATCTAAATGGTCTTATCATTACATAAGAATAGGGTTATTTCACTGACTTATAACTGGCACATTGTGGGCCAGTTAACTATATCAACACTAACCTTGAACATCTCACATACCCAGACCGCCCAAATACCCCCAAAAAGATAATAATTCCAGTTAAGGCCGGAAATACCAGTTAAAATGATTAAACATGGCCATAACCAAGTACAAAAATAACAGGGAATCCTTCAGAGTCTAGCTACTTCAGCATGTCAAATCTCTCTGAGGACCTCACGAGATCTTGAAGAATCGCATTGATTTTGCTCACGGCTGACACCACCTGACCTTGGCGCGTCGACCTTAACATATTTCGCCACAAGAAAGAACATTACCAAAAACATCAAAGCGAGTTTGGTTGAACAAAAGGAAGAAAGGATGAAAAAGGGGATGGACAAAGCTACCTCCCGGCAATTTGGATGGTTCATAGACATGTATAGACTGTATAGACTATAGATATGACATTTACTCTTCAGTCATCAAAGGTGGCTAGAAAATCCCTGAATTTATGGATGATTTCCCAGCTGCTCATGTTTGATGACAGGAGGTAGAAATGTGAGGATTTTTTCCCCAAATTGCCTGGAACTTTTGGGATTGATCCCCAGTAAACAAGTGGAAACGCAAGCCTAGACCATCCAAATACCACCCAACAAATGGAAAAAAACACATAAACGTACTAAGATTCTGGAGATTCCTGAAGTAAAACGCAATTTTTGAAGGATACAAACGGATGTTACAGGCAGATAGTCTATTTGTTAACAATGCCTTGGGCAATTTGTTACACTTCGCACCAGCAGGATGTGACATGATAGGGGAGGTTTCCGCGTTGTGGCTCAGGACACATGGATGCGGTCTGAAAATAGGATACCTAAAATCTCAGGCTTGATCATAATTTCCCTAATATCTAAATGGCCCAAATGGAGGATATACCACATTTTGAAGACACACCCACATGGAAAGACACAATAAACCTTGGGGATATCTTGAGAAGTGACCAGCAATCTTTGGGAAAATCGCTGTTCGAATCGCTGTTTCGAGGTGCCGAAACCTGTCTGAAAAAAACCCTGCCGGTTGACATTGGTTCCTGTACCGTATTATAATGACATAAAATAGTTCCCATTGAATCAGCCAGAACTTTACATCATCTTTCACAATCAAACAAACATTATCTAAGGATGATATCCCCAACATGTTCTTTGTAGTCAAAATGTTGAAACACTGTTATATTTTATCATAACCAAATATATACAAGGTGGCCCTCCGCGTGAAACGTTTGTTAGTTTAGATTCACCCCGTTCCACCATGGATATGCTATAAACATCCATAAACCCGAGATTCAGGGCTCGGGAACCACCTTGAAGGTTCCTCATTGTTTGTTGTACCCTCTGGCAATTTACTAAAACAAACTGGAAAATCACCATTTATAGTGATTTTTCCCATTAATAGCATGGTGATGTTCCATAATTATGTGGCTGTTTACCAGAGGGTATATAACTGGTTGGTGGTATACCTACCCCTCTGAAAAATGATGGAGTGAGTAACAGTTGGGATGATGACATTCCATTCCCAACTGAATGGAAAGTCATAAACAAGAATCCAAACCACCAACCAGTTATTGTGGTACTCACATATCTATGACAATCTGATACTCAATGTTTTTTGGTACTCAGCATTTATGCATCACCTTCAAGATCCTACTTCAACAAAGACCACATCAGTCAGAGGTGTTCGATATTGACACATAGAAAACTGGACATATTGAATCATATTGATATATGCATATATTGTGTTCAATAGAATTCACCTACTTCAACCGACTAAACGCTCCTTAGCGTGTTCCAGTTCCGGTCGCCATGCGTCGCCAAGACGCCACCAGTTCCTGTGACACCGATGGGCTGATCGTTCATGCCTAAGTAGCGGCGTTTGAACGGAGCCGATGATGTGCATCGACCCAGATGGAACTACTAATTAAAAAAACACACTTTTGGGTGAAAACTATGTTTAGTCCAGCCATAGTTTCCAAAACATAGTTTACAATGACCTATTCATTGTACCTACACCCTCCGTTTGTGCAATTAAAATGGTGTTTTACGCCAAATTCTTAGTATCTTTACCATTTTTTGTTGGTATTTGGAGGGTCTGGGGAGATGTGTTAAACGACCAATTGGGGGGATGGTAAGTTCCCAAAAACTCTCAGCAAAAGATGTTGAAACCACCAAACACGAAACTTTGACCCCCATCTTCCGCTAAACAATGAATTTGTCACAAACTTCGGAATGGCGACCAGCTTGTGGGGAGATTAATTTGTAGGGAGTTTTGGGCATCTCAAAAAGTACTTTTTGAGCAAAAAGTGTCACGTGCTAACATGTCATAACACCTCCGTGTCTTACAACGATTTATAACGTGAAAAAGTGAAAAAATGAAAAGTAAAAAAAAAAGATTTATATTAGATTGAAAAGTTTTAAAAGTTATGCACCAACAAACATTGAACTGACATGAATTAGTATCCTTGATGGATGTGGCATGGTTGTCTTATTGGCAATGAGAGCAGAGCTTGGTGATGGAACTTCAATCATCAAGTTTACTACATTGCCAACATTACTATTTATTTGGCATGTCTAGTACCTGTGTTTGCATATGCCCAGGATGTATGAACATATATCCACGTCAGGATGCATCCCCAGGTCACATGGCAATGCATATTTCCTGTTGCTGATGTGATATCTCACAAAAACATGCCAACATCTTCCCCTCAATTAGTCAGTCAGTCAATTGTGTCAATTGCATCTGTTGTGTTTCTTCAATTTCTGATGTTGAATGCTTGTGGTGTGAAGTGGTTTCAGATTGAGATTCTCTGAATTGAGTCATTGCTTGAGATGTTACTACATTGTCATTCACCTGCTCGGGCCTTAGTTTGCAAACATGTCTCGTTGACAAATGATTTGCGTCAATTGTGTCATTTGCGTCATTTGGATGTTTGCAGGTCAATGTTTTGTTTGGATGCTTCAAGGAGGGGCTGCAGCGCGTCAACTTCATTCAGGGTGGGGGCCCCAGGATTTCTTTGACAAGCACTTTTGGCAAAGTCATTTTCATCTTGAAAAGTGATTTGGTCAATTGAGTCAATTGTTCATTTTGTTCTACTCATCCAGGGCTTTATTTATTATTCAGCAGCTGTGCCAATGCATCAATCAAATTATGTGAAAGAACGGATGAATGAAAAGAATGTCAGAGGCAATAGGGCTCAAGTTGCGTGATTTGTGTTGATTGATTTGCTGTTTGTCTTAATTGCGTGATTTGTATCAATTGTGGTCGCCAATTGCAGATGGTGAATAGATGGTCAAGAAGAGCGTCTGCTGCAGCAAGTCGAGAGACCACGACTCCACCAGCTCTCAATCAATCAACCAATCCATCCATCCCATCCATCCATCCAATCAATCAAATCAATCAACCAACCCACCAATTCAATTAACCACTAAATCTATCCTATCTATCCTATCCTATCCTATCCTATCCCATCCTATCCTATCCTATCCTATCCTATCTATCTATCTATCTATCTATCTATCTTTTTATCTATATATCTATCTGTCTGTCTGTCTGTCTGTCTGTCTGTCTATCCCATCCCCATCCCATCCATCTAATAATAAATTTATCTATCTCATCTAGAATCTAATTATTTATTGCAAGACTAATCAATCATAAATTTGAAACGTAAATGAATTAGTCAGTAAGAAAATAGAATTATTAAAATAATTATTATGAAATAAAATATTAATTTACTTTTTTCATAAAATTATACACTTTTATATTAAAATAAAATACTTCGAAAACACTGATTTCCCAGACTTCCAAACCACCAACCCAAACCACCACGTAAGCGTAACCTGATTGCATGTTGGAAAAAAGAAAATCATATTCAGCCTGTCAGTGCACATTGATTGAATGGGACATGGTTCCTTTACAGTACAAGCTTTGTTCATGGCAGCAAATGAGATGTGATTGCATCTTAGTTTCTCGTGTCTTAAGGTGGCTGGTGGTAACTTGCAGGCTCAGCTTTGTTTCCTTTGAAATGTCAATTGTGTCATTTGCAGTCAATTGACTCCCGGTAAGTCAGTTCAGTGAACCAGGGGAAGTGAGTGTCATTTTAGCCATGCGTCGGTTACAAGATTTCGGCAGGCCTTTGTGACATTGGTGGCAGGCTCATGGATACACCCAGGCGAGGCCTGTGTTGTTCAAGTGCCAGTCATTCAATTTGATTCATTGAATTGCATTGTACTTGAATTACTTGTGGTTGCAAATCATGACAATATGGCAGTTGTCCTGAAGCAACTAGTGCTCGAAGCATTAATTGGATTCAATTGCATCAATGGTGTCATTTGCGTCATTTGCGTCATTTGTATCAAAACAGATTTGAAAACAAGTCATGCATCATGCAGAAAAACATCCTTAAAGGGCAACCCAATGAACAACAACAAACGCAAAACAATTTGATTTCAAATGTATTAAATGTCTTCGGCCTCGATTGCTGTGCAATACCTGCCGTCTGAGTGGCGCTCAACGGTGAGCAAGTGGCCAAGGAAAGCGCAACAGGTCGCTTGATCGCACATGAAACAAACAGGTCGCTTAATTTCAAGAGTGTCACAAGATAAATTTCAACGTTGTTACTAGAATCTGGGAATAGTGCATTTGCAAACTGCTTGCTTGAGGCAATCTACTTGGTCCACCTTGAGTGCCCAAGCAACGCCCAGGACTTGGTGCCCCTTGGATCAAAGAAGTGGGATTAAGTTTGCTGATTTGGGCTTCTATGTTTCATTTGATGATGTTTAACGTTTGTTGTGGTGAGTTCTCTTCAATTGGGTCAATTGTCAGAGAAAGTGTGGGTCAATTCACTTGTTACTCAGGGATTTGGTGGAGAAAAAGACGCCTGTTGACATCCTCAAGTACGTTCTGTCGATTTCGAGGACAAAGTTGAAGGAGTAACTTACCTGCATTGCAGGATGTTCTGCTTTGATTGTTGCCAATGATGGCTTTCAGCTGGTTCATTACCAAGGTACCACCAGAACAAGGGCATCAAGTATGACAACGTCAGTTGGGTCACCAAAAAAAAGTGACCAAACCACAGTTTCTTGGCTTATCAAAGAAGTTTGCTGAATTACATTGGCTGGTTTGGATCAAGTGTGTCAATTGTGTCAATTGTGTCAGTCATGTGAAGTGTTGAAGTGCTGGCAATTGTCTGCTTTGGTAATGATGTCAGGTTCCCATCGTGCTTTGGAACTCACAACTGGTCCACTGGCCTCGACGAGTCGCGATCCTGGGGTATGGATCGGGCAATGCGAGGCGTGGGTGGAAGGACAGGGCCTTGTGGAGTCATGATCATGATGGAAATTGACAATTATTAATGTACTTTTGCATAGTTCTCTAGCGGCTGTGTTTGATTTGATCAAATTGCTTTGTGCATTTCATTGGTTGCAGGATCCACCACCTCAGGTGGTCAGGATCATCGAAAAGTTATGTGGTCACCTGCGTGACCCGATGAAGGAGGTGTGGGAGCACAGGCTTCCGTTGAAGCTGACACGCCAGTGCCTTTGATGCATTAATTAAGATCAAAATCAGAATGTTTGAATGCATTGATGATGATATCATCATTGTGGTTTGGGATTGGATGCTCAGGAGCTTCGAGGAGCACGACCAAACCAAGCAGAGGATGAGCGGCCTGCACGCGGAGGTGCAGGAGGAAGTGGCTTGGCATCAGAATGGCAAGCAGGTTGTCAATTGAGTCAATTGAGTCAAGCTGTCAAGTGGCAGTGGTGTTTGAATTAAATATTGTCAATTGAATCAATTGTTGTCAAATGGCATGCACTGTCAATTGAGCCAGTTGTTATGGATCATTTGCTTCATGGGTCTTTGATATTGCTTTATTTGAATGTAGTCCTTGTAGCGCTTCTCTCATTTAGGTCATCCGCCACAGCGGGTTCAAGTCGGTGGTCCTGGACATTTTGTCCCGGCCAGGGAACATCATCCGGTTTCCTGTCTGCATTTGGCTAGTCTTGACCTATTATTCTTCTTGTGATGCTTGCAATTGTGTCATTTGAATGTGTTGGAGCAATTCACAGTTTTGATGTGAATTTCAGAAGAGCAATTTCACTCAGTCAAAGCTTCAACTTTTGCACATTCAGACTTGTCTTGCTGAGGCTGACTTGCAGTTGGGGCTGGCACCGGACACTTGGGACGGCCAGTGTGATCATCCGGATCTTGCAGATTGCGGGGTGCGAAGTGGTGCTCTTTAGCGCGAAGCTGAGCATGAATCCGCAACTGGATTGCACAAACACCATCGCGTTTCTTCAGGGTTCGCCCAATGTGTGGCTTGCCTCAAATTGAGCTGAGCTGTTTGGATGCTTCACTTGGGGGGTTGTAGTGATAAACTTGTGGGATCGAAATGCGAAGCAATTCAGTTCTCTTACCTTCACAATAAGTTCTGTCTTCAAACATAATGGTTTTTTAACCATCAACATTTGTCCCAATTGAATTGCCTCAATTGATTCAATGGCAGTAATCTTGTAATGTTTTTAATTGATTCAATTGCCTCAATTGACTCATTCAACAACTTGTTGGTCCTTGCCATGGCTCAGTGTTGCTAAGGAACATGCGAACCCTGACTCGGAACCTTCACGACGACTTGACAGGTGTGGCCTGGACCGAGGAGGACTTCGAGCAGAGCCTGGAGAGGGCCCGAAACCTGTGGAGGGAAGTGTGGCCAGAGGCTAGCATCAAATTTCAGCGTGGCAAATCCACAGAGGCTGCCCCTCTACCAGGTCTACCTCCACCCCGGTCAATTGGGCCCATTGCCACAGCACCAATTGGGTCAATTGCGTCAATTTCGTCATCTTCTGCCAGTGGCAGCAAGCCCCC